TATAATTTCTAACAAGTTTGATACATTCCCTTCAAAAATGATAGAGTTCTCCTCTAGCTAAATATTCCAACAAGCGGAAAGCTAAAACACATGAATTTTTTGTGGAATTTAGATCCTCTAAAAATGTTGTCGAAAGCAGCAAAGTTGCTTACATCATCGTCAAACTAAGACTTTAGAAACCAATTCATCCAAATAAATATTTAAGTTCAGACAAATTTGACAAAACATCTTAAAAATAACAAATGATTATGCAATTTGCTAAACTACAACTTCTTTAATTTGGAAACATATAAAATTGGTGAGAAAATTTTTTTAAGCATGTGAACACTAAAATACTTTTTTGAAGCCCAACATACTTATTGTTTCGGGTCTGTCATATTACTTTTTAGTCCGACCACCATAAGATGAAACGTCTCGGGTTCAGATCAAGTATTCACCAAGCTTCTAAAATATTCTCCTAACCATTAAACCATTAAAAACCCAAAAGTAAGAGATTTGTGCCTCTAATGCATAGGCATATGGAATGATATCGGTAACAAGTTTAGAACAAAATATGAATACTCTCTCATCATTCATATACTCACTCGAGCATCTGAGTGCTAACCTTGCATGTACCCCCTCGCTCCGTCGCATCATAAGCTCTCCTCTGCCGCAACTTCCGCAACTCTGCACATTTCTAGTCCATAAACGGAACAATGATACTGTTTGCGGGAATCGATTTTTAATTCCCGCTTTCCATCAAGAACAAAATTATGGTCACTTGGCTACTATCCCACAAAATTGAGACCAGCCGAGTCAATTGGGTAATTCAACATATGTTGGATTACCGAAGAAATGGAAATTTGTGGTTACCATATGATAATTGAATCACTATGATTCAAATCCATGTTGGGGTCAGTTTAAAGAAGGAAGAGTATGTTTCTAGCTGCAAAAAAATTGAGAGAAACACTTTGAAGCAAATGAAGATCAAAGACAACAATGGGATCTTAGTGCATAGTGTTGCTCCTAAGCCTGCACAGTAAGCTCCTAAAAAATAGGGACATCAAATCTAGAATATTTTGATTTGGAGATACTTCAAACTCCTCTAATAAAAGCTTTTCTCAACTCCATCTTAACTAACACTCAAGATAATAACATGATGAATTGATAAAACACCAAAATTCTTCATCGGATGTCAACCCAAGTATCCTTCCTTGCAAATCACTTAGCTTAATTCGGAATACCAATTCCTCCTAGGATGCTTGATGATGATAATGATTGCAACAACAAGTAGTTATCTTGTTGTATTATTTTCTCTTGTTTATCTATTTGCTTGCTTTGTTCTCAATTTCTCTCTCTCTTTTATTTATGTAATCCCTCTTTTTAATATATGATGTTGTTTGCTCATCCACCAAATTTCTTTAAATGTGTTCAACATGTTGTTTATCTGGCTCTATATGACATACCTAATATATGTTTATCCCTCTTCTTCTTTTTCTTCTTATTCTTCTTTTTTCCTGCTTTTTGATAATGACAAAGAAGGAGAAATATACTCTTAGTGGGAGTATAGTATATTATCTTTATCTGCGAGGAAGAGTTAACTACTCCATTATTTCTCGTTTGTATTTTTATAGATTACCATCTCCTTGAGAGATGCGTTGTCATCATAAAAAAATGGATATTGTGATTCTATTTGTCGTGCAAATTAAATCATTATGAGGTTTTGATGACAAAAACATAACAAGACAAAGTTATTTATAATCGTAATCAAGCAATAATCTATCAGAAAGCTAAATTTTCTTTATCTGTGAGAGAGAGAGTTAACTACTTCGTTATTTTCCGTTCGTATTTTTCTAGATTACCATCTCCCTAAGAGATGCGCTGTTATCATAAAAAGGAAGAATGTGGTTCTATATGTTGTGCAGATTAAATCATTATAAGGTTTTGATGATGAAAATATAATAAGACAAAGTTAATTGTAATCATAATTAATCAAAAAGCTATTAGAAAGCTAATTTAATCAAGTTATAATGTTGACAACAAACAAGTCAAATTAAATTTAAAAAGATCAACATTAGAGGAACTAAATATGTGAAATCTCGTATGGTCTGGTGCTTAAGTATTTTAGTCTTTTTGATTAGTAGTATTCCGTGTAGGAACCTGAATTGGTCGGCAAATGATGGATGTAGATTGCAATAGTAGACTTGAGCTCCCGATACGGTGGAATATATGATGGTCTGCAAGGTTAACACTCCAACGTCCAAATCAATATGAGAGTAAATGAAGTGAATGAGATTTGAATTTGAATTACCTGAGAAATGGTGCGTTGTCCCTCTTATATAGTAGGACAGTTATAACAGCTTGTTGATCTATCAACATGAGAGACAAATATATGTCTGATTGGTCTTGGATCGAGATCACAAGCATTCTTGACTAGGATTGAACATCTACCCTGCATGTGATGTGGTGGATCATTCTGCTCTCTAGATCGTAATTATTTGACCTTTTGGCCAATCCAAAACAAGTAGTATGTAAAATCAATAAGAGTAAGTCTTGAAGTACTAAGGTGTTGCACACACTAAAAAGTTTTCAAAATCTCCATTTGTTTCATATTTCATTTAAAAACCAATTTTGATAAGTGCTTAATCGATTAAGAAGAAATTATAATCAATTAGGAAAATAAAACTTATTGTCTAATCGACTAGAGCTTTCTTATAATTGATTAAAGAGAGAGTTCACCTACTAATCGATTAACAAGTCTATTAATTGACTAAGGAGCGAAGGTTCTTATTTTGGTGAAGTCTAATCGAGTAGCACCACAACCTAATCAATTAGAGAACAAGCACACTCATGTATTATTGTCTTTTTTAGATAAAATCTTTTCTTATATAAAGAGTATTGTGCTCACTTCTAAAATACAATTTTTCTAAATTTAATACTCTCATATCTCACTTTTTCTTCTTCTAAAATTAATTTTACTCAATATATTGTTTTAGTGTTGAGATAGTGAAAGACTTATATTGAGAGTTGTGTTATTCTATTATGCTAAAATTGTAATTCAAGATTCTAGTTCTCATGTTTGTCAAAAAAAGATTATAGTTCTCATTTGCATTTTCAATGTTGCAAGCTAAATCTAATAAAAAATTTGGTGTAAGAAAGTTTGTTTTTGGGGACTAAAGTAAACCGCTTAATTTAAAGTCAAACCAATATAATTTTTAATATTATCTCTCTAACTCTATCTCTTTATTTTATATTTTTATTTATTTTTTACTGCATAATCTATGGTTATATTCGATTTTTAAAATCAATAAATTTAAAATAAATATTTTGTATTTATATTTAAAGTCAATTGTTCAACAATATTTTTGACATCTCAATTTCCTTATCAGTAACTCTTATCTAGTTATTTGTCATACTAAAGTTTAATTGTTTCTGTCCTAGATAGCTCAATATTTAAGCTCTTCTGTCTTAAATTTGAACAAAAATATATCCTCTCCGGCATTTCTTCTGCTGTCATCTCTTCTATTAAATTTTTAATTCTTGAATTTAATCTAACCATTTGATATTACCTAATTTTTAATGCAAAATTTTATCTTTTTTTTTTTCAACTCTTAAATCAAAATAGAATGAACAACATAAAAAAGAAATTGGAGATGATTCAAATCTGATTTCAACGCATCCAAACAACACTACTCTAATAAACTTTATTAATAATTAAAATAATTAATTTTAAATTTTCTCATCAAAGAAATATATTAAATCAAACTAATACAAAAGAATTTAAAATATAAAATTAAAATATATCAAATCTCCATTTTTAAAATGACATAATATCTATTTATAAGTTACATTTTTAATCTGTTAAAGAATCAAAATATTAAATAATTACAATCATTTTTAGCATTTAAAAATGGATTCCTTTTTTAATAAAAACCACAATTACCATTAAGAAATTACTAAAAAGATCTATAAATATACTCAAACAAAATAAAAAAAATAAAAAAAATAAAACAATCACTAAAATTAATTGATAAAATAATTTATTGATGATAAATTTAAAATAATAATAAACTTTAATAAAAACCTTTTTTTACTATATAGTCTAATGACTGACATTCACCTTTTATTAATTTAAATTAATATTTTAAAAATTAAATCAGAGATCGAATCAGTAAAATTTTAAATTTAAAAATCAATTAAGTCAATCGATTAAGCTTACGGTCGAACTGTTTATTAAATACACTAATAATATGAAAAATAATTTTTATAGATTTGTCAGACATATACATATATTTATAACTTAATAAAATAAATATTTTAAAAGTCCATTACAAATTTAATATAACAATATGATAGTATATATAATAATACAATATAGTTATATACTTCATTTCAATTTTTATTTAAAAATAATTTGAATAAATTAAATTAATTCAAATCAAAATTAAAATAATAAAATATAATAACTAATATAAATTTTAAATAATTAAAAATACTTAATTATTTAATTTTAACCCATTAACGATTTTAAAAAATTAAATTAATCAGATTTATCTTCTATTCCCTATTTAACCGATTAAATCGACCAATTCAATTTGATTTTTAAAACATTAATCAAATTCGTGATCTGTGCATAATATTCTTGCACAACTATCAATTAATAGAGAAGAACAATAATAAAAATTATTAAGTGGCAGCACTACAATCAACCTCATTAAAAACAAAAATTTCCAAATTTACAGTTATGAAAAATAAAAAATTAAAAAAAATTCTAATTAATGAATTACATTAAACCAAAATAATACAAAATAAGGTAAGTAATAAATTCCATTAGAGACGAGGACAAATGATGAGGACAAATGGATGATGAAATAGTTATATATTATTGTGTTATTTTTGGATAATAATCACACACATTATTAACCTTCTTCCTTTCTTCTCTTCCATTTCATTCGCGTTCTTTGCATCAAGATTCATAACGAGTCAATAAACGGCACCTCAATTTGTCGTTTTGCATCAGCATGGACCCGACACCTACCGCGCAACGTCGTCTCAAAGCCATCAATGCTCACCTCGTCACCGCCGCCGATGACTCTCCTTCCGATATCCAATCGAATCCCACCGCCGGCGAGTTCTTCTCCGGTACTCCCTCTCTTGCCCTATCTTGTATTCGTTTAAGCTCCGATTGCACTTGTTTCACTCACTTGGAAATTTTTTGGTGGATCACGATGAATTAGTGATAATCATGATTAATTAGTGATAATCACGATCGATTAGTGATAATCACGACGAGTTCTTCTTTTTCATTTTAATATGCATTTTTGTTGATGAATATGATTTCTTGTATTTTAATTTGAGGTAAAGATGAAAAAAAGTACTACTAAATGACTAATTAATGGTTTAGTTTATTGCTGCATATAGTTTTTTTTTTCTTCTTGCGTGATAGGTCAACGCAATGGCACTATGAGTTTTCGAAGTCGATTAAAGGTTCAGCTTCATTGAGTTAAGCAAAAACAAGGAATATTCAGTTTTTCGCTTTTATTAACTGTGATAGGAGAACTTATTGATAATAATTTCTAATTGAAGGTTTTTTAATGGATAAAATATGGTCAATTCTATTTATTTCCATAAATGTCATTTTTTTTATAATTAAAAAAATTATTTTAAAAAATGGGGCCACAGAATTAGTAAACCTCATTGGGGCATATTCATGTTCCCAGGGTATGTTTTGTCCAACTTATTTTGAGCTTCTTTACAAAAGCAGCTTATTTTTCTAGTGTAAAATATCAAAAAGAGCTTTGGACAAAGTTGGAAAAAGCAGCTTGTTTTTTCTTATGCTTGATGAATCTGGACTTCTTATATTCATATAAACATACTGTACAAATGTTGGGTAATCTAGGGCCTGGCCGCCTAGGCCAATCGCATCACAAATTGTGTGTGTTAGTTAATTCTTAGTAACCAACTGTGATAATTACCCATGAAATTTGAAAACTAATTGGGGAACGAGTTTAGAAATAGAATGCTCATTAGTTTTTAATTTAAAGAAATGAGTGTAGAAATGCCAAACTGGCTTAATTTTACAACCACTGTTGACATTGTTTTGAAAACCAGTTAGGTGTTTGCCTCTTTGGTTTTCTTAGCTGAATAAACTGATGGATTTCAAAACGGACGAGAACCGGTTTAGAATTGGTCTAATTGGTAAAAACTGCTGGCTTAGAACTAGTTTGAAACAGTCAGTTATCTATTATATACTTTGTATTTCAAGAAATACACATCTTTTAGCAAAATAAAGGTCCAATGATAAGTTATAAAGATTCATTTAGCTTAATTTTTATTATTGATTTTTACTTTACAAAACAGAATAGATCGTTTTATATCAATTTCAAATTTAATTTGTCTTTTGCAGTATTTCATGTTGGCTTATTACTTAGTACGGTATATTATATAATATTGAAAAATATTTCACTTATAACTGGTTTGCTCACAGTTCAACCATGGTTAAACCATTAAACCGCGAACCAGTGCTTCACTGGGTCAATGCACCGTCCAGTTTTAAAACAATTGACTGTTGATCACATTACTTCAAAGGATTATATTCACAATAACACTTGTTGAACCTTTCTCACAACTGATGAAATTTTTTTATCCACAAACGGGTCTTTACAGCTATAGTTATTATTACATTATTTCATTCTTGCAAGTACTTTCTTTGTTAGTTGTATTTATATCTTTAGTTTTGATCTTTACTTCTGAACAGAGCAAGGGTATAGTGTTGTACTCCCGGAGAAATTGCGGACAGGAAAGTGGAACGTGTACAGGTATAACTCTTCCATATTCCTGATCTGAATTGTTATACATATTTCTAGGGCCAGGTGCGTAATCCTACTTAATTCCTTTTGGCAGATCCGCACGTTCTCCTCTGAAGCTGATTGATAGGTTCTCTGATAATCCTCATATCGGTACACTACATGATAATTTTGTGTGAGCGTCACTCCTTTTTCTCTTCAAAACTTTATTTTAACTTCATGAGGTTAATGTGTAATCTTAATAAGCATTACTTCACAAAGAAATTATATTTCATGATTTAGAAATTGATATGGATTTTGTTAAACTATGTAATAACAGGCGTTCAGTTGACACTTATCGGGACTACAAATATTTGGGAACCCGTGTCCGCGTCGATGGAACAGTTGGGGAGTAAGCAGCTCTAATAAGCTTTCAGTTCCATCTTTGTTTTTTTCATTTCGACTTCTTTTACATCATTCTCATCATTTCCTTTCATCCTGCAATTCTAAGGTACAAGTGGATGACATATGGAGAAGCAGGTACTGCACGGTCGGCAATAGGTTCTGGTTTGGTTAATCATGGAATCCCACAGGTGAGTGCTAAATCACAGTTTTTTTTTTTTTTTGGATAAAGTGCCAGATCACAGTTACATAGTTGCTATTATGATTTGATTTTTCACATGGCATCACTTAACCATTAATCTATGTGCGTTTTACCAGGGCTCTGGCATTGGGTTGTATTTTATTAACAGACCTGAGTGGCTCATTGTTGATCATGCTTGCTCTGCATATTCATATATATCAGTGCCTTTATATGATACTCTTGGTATGTTGCCTATGCTGTAATTTATCAGGGAACTTTTTTTTTCCCGAGTTTATGTTGGCCTAACATGTTGAATTAACAGCAAGAAATTGTTTGCTCTGTAGGTCCTGATGCTGTCAAATTTATCGTTGATCATGCTCTTGTACAAGTTATATTTTGCGTGTCTCAAACATTAAATTCAGTAAGTGCAGATATATGAGATTCAAGTTAAACTTTGTGTTGCATGTATCATCTGTTACCTTCAAATTGAGCACTATAGAAGCATCCATCGCCTTTTTGATGACTTAGTTTGAGCTTGATGCATTCCCCAAGGTGAATACTATTCAATGAGTCCTAGGTTTAGGGCTCATTAGCTTATGAACCATGTTTATGGATAATAAGGTAAATCCAGGCCACATGTCCTTGATTGCACGAACAACCAATAAAGATCGTTAATACCGACGACAATAAATTACTGATACAATGACCCAGTGATGAAGAAAACGACGAAATTTGAGCATTATAATCACCTAATGCTATTAGAGCAAACTGCTTGACATTACGTCACCCACTCCTCAAAAGATTTTGCTTAGAAAAGAATGATGATTATTACCACAAAAGGATTGCTTTTTAATGTGAGTGCACCCCTTTTGCAGAAGAGATACTGAATCAAGATATGCAAAGTTGATACTTGATACTTGAGTGATATGAAAATAATTTAAATATTTAAAATTATGTCTAAAAAATTGTGAGTGAAGCAAGCAAACTCTTCAGTCCAATTACCTGATCGGAGAGAAAGACGTTCGTCTAGAACGTACCACATTAATAATATGAAAAAGAATGTCATTTTGACTTTAAATCTTAATAGATTAAGTGGATTAACTTCTGTAGACGGATCAGGTTTGCTAAATAAAAGATGTGCTTTAACCTTTCTCACTAGTCAGGAGTCACTTTTATCTGTAAAATGGGAGCTTTAAGAGTTTTTATCCCAAACTCCTATTTGCTTTAGCATTGAAGTTCCAGTATTTACAGATTGGTGTTTAATTTAAAAGCCTATAAGCAAGTATTTTATATAAGGACTTGTTATCATAATATACAAAATTGCTAAATAATAGGGCGATAACATATTTTCTATGGCATAAAAGGGGAGTTTTTACTCTTTCATTTTAACTAGCCTCAACTAATTGGTTATCCTCTGATGAAATACAAATTAAATGTACTCCTGCTCCTATCCCTTTCTTTTTACCAGTTCTACATAGATACTAGTAGCTCTCAATCTTCTTTTACAAAATTTAATTTATGTATTATGTCATCTTACATTGCAGTTGCTGAGCTACTTGTCTGAAATTCCATCCGTACGTCTTATTGTGGTATGTCTGAATTCGTGGCTTATATTTGTAATCAAATTTTCTTTCACAAAGTAAGTCCATAATGATTTTTTGTTTGTATTCAGGTAGTTGGAGGTATAGATGATCAAATTCCATCACTTCCATCATCAGATGGAGTTCAAATTATTTCATATACAAAGCTTATTAGTCAGGTAATCTAAATGTCTCAGTCAAAGAATGTTATGTTGTGTGTTCATATCTGATTATGTTCAATTATATAGTTTTAAATTTACCTGCTTCCTTGGATTATAGGAAGTGTTACTTTGGTAGGGCTCCTTGTATCTAATCTATCTATTGCGGTCTATTGGTTTTAGGTTTCATTTTTATAAATGGTGTTTCAAATTTGAAATTGATTTGATCTGCTTCTAATTGATAAATTTGTCACCTCATTGTTTGTGTAATTTGGATATAGGGGCGCAGCAATCTTCAGCCCTTTCGCCCTCCAAAGCCTGATGATATTGCAACCATTTGCTACACGAGTGGCACAACTGGAACTCCAAAGGTACGGAGGTTTCTATAAAATTACAGTTTACTTTTCTCGGTGGTATATTATTCCACTAAAATAGTCTCTTTGCTTAATAGTAGTCATATAAAGCATTTCTTATTCATCTTGCTACTCAAAATATTCTGGTCAGGGTGTGGTATTGTCCCATCAAAACTTTATTGCAAATGTTGCTGGGACCTCTCTGAGTGAAAAATTCAACCCAAATGATGTGTAAGTTCTTTTTTGCTGTACACAATTGTTTCTGCCATTTTTGTTCATGATAGTTTATTCTACTGTCTTTACCTTAGTTTCCTTTGATTTTCAGTTATATATCCTATCTCCCTTTGGCACACATTTATGAGCGAGCAAATCAAGTCATGACAGTATATTTTGGCATTGCGGTGGGATTCTTCCAGGGGGTGTGTCTTAAACAAATTAAGCTTCTCTCTTCCTTTCATTTGCCAAATATATATTAATTCTGAATGAGCTATCTCCTACCTAAAATTTCTAAATGATAGCTACCTTTTTTTATGTTGACTTGCGAAGCCAAGGTACTACCTTATGGCTTATACTTCTTGCAGAATGATTTATATGAAAAATATAGCAAATATATTTTGGAATAAAATATAAGGAAAGTTGCACCTTTTGGCCTATTTAATGATATATCCAAAAAATGTCCCTGATTTAATTTAACTTTTTTCCAATGAACTGATTTATTACTACTATCTTGAAGGGTAATTCAGGTGATTAATCCTTAATTTACGTGGTGTAGTCAACTTTTGCTTATAAATCATACTGGATGAAGCACGATGCGGTCACTGGATTTTGCTTCGCTATAAACTGACATTTTCTTCTTACCCGTTGCATACAGGATAATCTGAAATTAATAGAAGACCTTGCAGTTCTAAGACCTACTATCTTCTGCAGTGTTCCTCGTCTATATAACAGAATATATGCCGGGTAGAACAATCATACATTTGTGCTGCAATTTTTAGAAATGTTCTTTTGCTTCTTGTTTATTCATTGTGCTATTTGGTTGTTTTTTTTTTGTCTGCAGCATCATTAATGCTGTTAAAACATCTGGTGGTCTAAAGGAGAGGTTATTCAATGTTGCCTACAATGCTAAAAGGCAGGCATTATTGCACGGTAAAAATATACTATGAGATGTTTTTGCGCAGCATATATTTGCACTTTATCTTGCTTGATTTATTCATTATATTACGTAACTGTTACTGTTCTCTGTTGTGCCCTAAACATTGATCTTCTAATGATATTTCTCTCGAAGAAATTCTCTTACCAGACATTCATTTGTGACAGTTACAAACTCCCTGTTTATCTGAGTTAAGATGGCCGAATCACTTTTTATATGACTTTATTTCACGTAGATGATGGATGATGGTGGTTGAATCTCATTTTCAGTAACAGAACTACAATATCATTTTCGTTTTCCAAAGCTTGTGTTTTATTTTATGTTCTAAATAGCTTGACGTTTATGCTCTTTGGGTGACACACATGACAAAAATAATAATTAACATCTGGTTGAGCTTCACAAAAATGTACTTAAATATTGAAATAAGCTGCTGCTAAACTTGTGTTGTAGTTGGAAAGTATTATTCTTTTCAGATGCTTATAATATTTATCAGATCAGCAAGAAGTACTAGTGAAATTTGATATTTCACTGTATCTTTTTCAAGAATTTGTGCATATATATATATATATATATATATATATATATATATATATATATATATATATATATATATATATATATATATATATATATATATATATATATATATATATATATATATATATGTCACAAATTTCTCTTATTTTGTTTGCGAAACTTGTTCATTCTCAGAAGTTATTCTTGAAAGTATTCACTACAATGAACTCAAGAGTTATATTTGTTTTTTTTGGAACGAAGTCCAGTTCCCTCTGATCTTAATCTTATATACTGATCAACTTATCATCATAGTAACTAACCAGACAAATTTTACTTTCCTTCTCAACCAACAGTTAGTACTTGGATCAATTGAGAAATTGAGAGTATTATTATATGTTACTCAGTTGATTATTATCATTGATGCATGTGAAGGTTAGGAAAATGTCTTATATTTAGGGACAACAAATATGAAAAATGGGTAACAGAGGGAGGACTTTCTTGATCATAAACTTATGAACAAGAAGTAAACATCTCTTGTTTGCGTGTCTGTCCACTGTAGTATCATTTAAAAATCAATTTACTCTTAACATCCACATTTTCATTTATTTTAGGCAAGAACCCATCTCCGATGTGGGACAGATTAGTTTTCAATAAGATAAAGGAAAAACTTGGAGGGAGAGTTCGTCTTATGGTATCAGGTGCCTCACCGTTATCGCCTGATGTTATGGAGTTTTTAAAAATGTGAGTTTTGCATATTATTGGTGTATACATTAAAATTTTGAGTTTTGCATATTATTGGTCCTTTTCTTAATATATTTGATAACTTTTATCCTGACCATGGGTGACATTCATTTCATAGTTGCTTTGGTGGGAGAGTGACCGAAGGGTATGGAATGACTGAGACTACTTGTACTATAAGCTGCATTGATGATGGTGACAGACTTAGTGGTCACGTTGGCTCTCCAAGTCCATGCTGTGGTGAGTATTGTAAATTTTACACCTCATAACTTGTTGCATATTAATTGTCAGGTTATGCTACATAAAAAGTTGATCATGAATTGGTCAGACTGTAAACCCCTCACCCCCAGTTGTAACATCCCATCATATGCTGTTTACTTAAATTGTTTGTATTCTATATGGCTGCTGTAACATTTTTTTAATATGGTTATTCAGTGAGATGTTACTTTTGTTATTCCAAGGACTTGAATTATCACTGACAGGAAATGTGATAGTTGAGAATGATAAGAAAATGGGGTTTTGAACACATTGAATCCGTTATCTCCTAATTTAAAGAGAATGTACATGGGGTTTTATTTAGTTTATTTTATCTGTAGCTTGCGACTCCCAATACCAAGAGATTTACTGTTTTTTTTCAGAGGTAAAACTTGTAGATGTTCCTGAAATGAACTATACATCTGATGATCTGCCGGACCCCCGTGGTGAAATTTGTATCAGGGGTCCCATTATTTTTCAAGGATATTACAAAGATGAAGTTCAAACGTAACCACTTCCCTTGTTCTATGGTTCTTATAAATTTGATTTACCATGGCGTATTTACAATGTTCCTGATTTTTCATTAAATTGACCAGGAGAGAAGTCATCGATGAAGAGGGATGGCTACATACCGGAGATATTGGAACATGGATAGCTGGTGGTCGTCTCAAAATCATTGATAGGTGAGATACCTGTGTATCACCATCTTATTAATAGTCTATATTATTTGGCAACAAACTTGTGTTCTTAGTGTACCATCCATTATAAAGTTTTACTATCCCTGTTTGATTCATCTGATGCAAGTGTGCTCATTTCAATGAGCAAACTTTAACGACACTTTTTAGTGAATTTTCTATCTTCCATTGGTGCGTCAATGATATTATTAACTTGTTACTGCATACTGCTTTCATTTAACTTTTAAATATTCAACTTCAGCAAGGCGGGCTAGAAACATGGCCTCAACCTTCCTGTTTATTTTCTCAGCACACTATATGTAAGTGGCTAAAGTTTTTAAACTAAAATTTTCATTTCATTGTAGGAAGAAGAATATCTTTAAGTTAGCACAAGGCGAGTACATTGCTCCAGAGAAGATAGAAAATGTATACGTCAAATGCAATTTTGTGGCACAGTGCTTTATATATGGTAAGGAACGGAATAATGCTTACATGTTTAGTGTGTGTGTTCCATCTCTCACGTCTCTTTCTCAATCCACTTCTAGCTTGCCGATGTTTCTTTTATCTTTTATAGGTGACAGCTTTAATTCTACTCTGGTAGCTGTTGTCTCAGTGGATCCTGATGTCATGAAAGCATGGGCTGCTTCGGAAGGCATAGTGGTATTATAAGCTTTTTGGTAGTTTAAATCTTATAATTCAACATTGGCTCATTAGGTATATAACTTCCAGTAGAACAATTGATATATCTCGAAGACATGAACTGAGTTATTATTTTCGAATCAAATGGTAACAAATAAGTATATGTAGTATATTGAAATCAAGAAGGCAGAATCATGTATTTTTGGTCAAAGTCTCAAGGAACTTTATGAAATTTACTCTAGTCATTTTATTTTGCTGTGATTTATATTCGATTTATGAAAGTTATATGCTATAATAACTGATGTTCTTTCTGTTTTGTATGCACAGTATAATGATTTAACACAACTTTGCAATAATCCAAAAGCAAAGGCGGCTGTTTTGGCTGAGATGGATGCGGTTGGACGTGAGGCTCAAGTAAGTTATTCATTATATGCGTACACCTTGCATATCAACTGTCTTCAGTAAATATATTGAATATCCTCTGTATCTTTATTTGATGCCCTGTAGCTTAGAGGCTTTGAATTTGCAAGAGCGGTCACTTTGGTGGCTGAACCATTTGCGATGGAAAATGGTCTGCTGACTCCGACAATGAAGGCAAGTATCATGTCCTTAGACTATTGTATTCATCATTTTGCATTTGATGTGTCATCAAAAGTATGTTCTTAATGTGTGTGTGCATTTGATTTTCAGATCAAGAGGCCTCAAGCGAAGGAATACTTTGGCAAAGCGATATCGGACATGTATAATGAGATCTCCAAATCTGATCCTTCTATGAAACTCTTGTGAGATTGAGAGGTCTTCCTCACTGCACCACAACAAGTTTTGGACATCTTTGTACAAACATGTGAAGGAAAAAAGGACAAATAAAGATACATGCCCGAAGCACACATCATAAACTTTAATCAAAATGGTTCCTGCATCAGGAACATACCATTGAAAGAAACCTGAAATTTCTTGTTGTATTTTGTTGTAGTTATTTATTAAGAACTACGGTAGGACTAGATTCTCATTCCCAGTGCTTAAAAATAAATTAAATTATGACGTTTTTGATATTTATTCTCAATAAATATTATTTTCACTTATCAGCCAATGTGGCTTATTGTGACTCAGAATTTTTTTTGTTGAATTCATGTAATTAGGTTGTTGAATTTCTTTGCTAGCTTGTAGTTGAGTTCACTTAGCTATTGTTTGCTTGGTTCAAATTCGATACACCATATCTCTTACAAAATCCTACATGCTGTAATAACCGATTTAAAATTAAGAATCACCACTATTAATTTCTATTTTAGGAAAGATAATATAACAGATAACTCTAATTGATTAGAGATTTTAAGTTGTTGACGTGTTTTAGACGAAGAGAAGGTGTTAGGCGTCCTTTATCTCCCTTGTTCACAAGGATATTAGGGTTTACTCGCCATAATTTTAGTCGAATTCTTATCTATCGCAGTTAATTTTGAAAGTAATTCTATTTAATTATTTTTTCAAAAATGTCTTGGGTTTTACTATGTTAATAGAAGCAAATGTTAGTATTTGATGAGTTGGTTGTCTTGAATTTCGATTTGATTAAAGAGTATGGTAGGACACAGAACGGGGGAAGGTCTGATAAACTCTCCTCATAACATGACCAAATATTGGTTATATGTCGCTCATTGGTGAATTGCGTGGGTCTTAATGTTTCAAGGTTGAATAGTTAATTGATAAGGCGTTGAACCAATTAAAGAATATGGCAAATGTATATCCGTCAATCCTGTTATTTGTAATATATTCGAATTAATTTGATTAAAAAATATTAATGAATTTATGTACAAGTTAGTGATAAAATCCAATTAAATTTAATTAATTAGTCCCAGTAATCTAAATTATCAAATAGATAAAATCATATTTATTTTCTTTTTAGGGTTAAATAAGTTTTTGGTCCCTCTAAATATAACATATTTCGTTTTTAGTTCCTCTAAATTTTTGATCCATACTCTTGGTCCCTCCTGGTAACAGAGCTGTACTCCATAAAATTTCGTAGCTAAGCTGTAGCTAATCTCTAGCAAATTCATTTTAGGAATTTTTTTTTTTATCAAGGTCTTAAACAAATTAAATTGCTCAATACAAGCAATATGAGATTCAGATTTATCAACATTAGTCTTCTCCACCATACACGCTATCACCACCGATGGAAAGATGCCACGCACAACCATCCGAACGCAGATCTGATATCGTCGATACCCCGCGAGCAACACTTCCCGCCGCTGCGATTTCGTGTCACACCGTCATGAGAGGTATGCTTTTCTTTTGCCACTTGTTGTGAGAATGTTGTGGTGATTTTACTGTACTTGTTTGTTGTTTTTTTGAGAGAAATATTAAGAAAGGAGAAAAAGAAGAGTACAATTGAAAAAGAAGGGTACTTCCATTCGTCGTATAATGGAATCTTTGTTTAGATACTTTGACAATAGAAGTTTATGGATTATGGACCATGGTCCTGCCTTTCACGTTTTAAAAGATATGCTATTTTCACTCGATGAGTCTGGTATAATAATTTTCATATTAGATTTATAATTATTTACTGGGAATTGTCCATTTAATGCATTGATTACTTCATAAAATTGATTTTTAAATCATTATTCTCTTCTAATTTGTCTTTCATTTGTTCTCATTCTGGTTGTTGCATGGAAAAACACTCATGTTTTATTGTCAATATTAATTAAGCATCTCGATTATAAATTAGTTCTGAAGAAACCCAACATTAAACTGGACATTATTGAAGTGATTTTTTCACTCACTCAATATACCAAGGTGCAACCTTCTGTAGCAATAATTTGCGCATTAAGTGATTTAATGAGACATTTGCGGAAGAGCATACAATATTCCCTTGATAATTCAAATCTGGGCACCGAAACAATAAATTGGAACAAAAAATTTGGAGAAGCGGTCAACAGGTGCCTTGTACAGTTATCAATTAAGGTATCACATTTTTTACAGCGTCGAATCAAGTTTATATCAAAACTTTCAAAATGATTAAGTTATAAATAAATATTTTGGATGACCCCAACTTTATTGATTTTATGTTGTCTTTTGAATTTTATAAAGCTTTATGATTTACAATTACAATAAGTTATAAATGCTATCATTTCTTGTTAGATATATCAAAATAGAAGTCAACTAAGAGGCTGATCATGAACAAGTTGGAGAAGCAGGTCCAGTTCTTGATGCTATGGCTGTTATGTTGGAGAATATCTCTACTATTAAAGTAATATCGAGAGCCACTGTCACTGCTGTTTATCGAACTTCTCAAATCGTAGCCTCCTTACAAAATTTGAGAGAAATATTAAGAAAGGAGAGAAAGAAGAGTACAATCGTGAAGAGAAATATTAGCTAGTGTTGTGACAGTATTGAAGGATTTATACAGATTCAAAGCTATGATGAAGAGCAAAGAGTGGATAAAAGGGAAAATAGATTTGTCGATATTTATATTTTTGGTGTTGAATATTTTGTTTTTATTGTTAAGGTTGGTTTTTAAGGTAGTGGTTGTGAATTGAGCATGGTGTTTTGGTTATGTGGACAGAACAGGTTATGGGGTATTGTGTTACTTGTTGCTGTCTTGTTTGTTTTTGTTTGGGCTTGTTTTGCAAACTGTGTTGTATTTGGTTTGCAAGAAATTGTTTGTATTGAACAATGTAATTTGCTATGTAATTTAATTGTTTGTAAAAAATTGTTTATATGATATGTAATTTGTTGATGCTACAAGAAATTGATATACTATTGTGTGAAAAATGAACAATTCGAATCTCATATTATTTGTATTGAACAATTTAATTTGTTTAAAATTTTAATAAAAAAATCAAAATTTCTAAAATGAATTTGTTAGAGATTAACTACGACTTTAGCTATAACTTAACTACGAAATTTTATAGATTATATTATATTTTTAATCTTAGCCACGTGGCATGCCACCTCAGCATCTTTGACAGGTGACATTATCACGTATTAGTGTTACATCAGCTCTGTTAATAGACGTTAACAGAAGGGACCAAAAATGTGGATGAAAAATTTTAGAGAGACTATTCTTTAAAGGAAATATTTAAAAGAACTAAAAACAAAATAGATTATATTTAGAGGGACCAAAAACTTATTTACCTTTTTTTTTTATATCTTAGATTTTTTCTATTATTTTTAATAAATAAAATTAACTGACTTAAATCAATTAATTAACTAAACTAAAAAGTTTACTAAAAAAATTAAAGGGGTGCAAGAGCTAAATAGATGTGAGGTTAGAAAAAAAATTGAACTTAAACCCAATATTAAAACAAGTTAAACCTTAATTCTAATGATAATAATACTCTATAAAAAACAGAAATAATAGGAATAGAAGGGTAGTAGAGCGCTACACTTTCACCCCTGATTCAAAATCCAATTAAATATTATCTAAGATAATTTCTTTGACTTTTCTACACCATTAAAATCTGTAGCCAATAAAAACTGGACACTTGGTGCTCATAATAAAAATAAAAAAAATAACATAATCCCCTTTCCTCTTTATCGCCTCTGACCTCTCTCTTTCTCCATATTTGTTCATTTCCTTCTCCATCTTTCTAGAGTTTAAAAATTAATTCAAGATCTTCATCTTATTTTCACAACACAAAACGAACCCCCAACATATAAAATCAATTCCAACAAAACTCAACAGCCATAAAAATAACCCAAAATAACTCATGAAATTTGGAATAAAAATGAACCTGATTATTGTGGCCGGTAAATCCGAATCGCGCGGAGGTCCGGTCGTGAGGGATGTGCCGCGGTTAGACGGTGGATTTGGCCGGCCGAGAATCGAACGTGTGGGGAGGTGACCGAGAGGCTTTCGATGTCGGAGGGCATCGTACAGTCGCGTAGAGGATTCGTTCCACCGTGGATCTGAAGCGGCGTTCGGTTGTTTCCGTGTGATGTCTCCGTTGACTAGCTGGTTGTCCGTCGGCGTGCGAGATGGCTGTGTGCAGTTTCCGATCGAAACTGCTCTTCCCTTTTTCTACTCTTTTTTTTCTTAATTTGTATGCTTTTCTTTGTAGTTGCTGCAAAAAAAAAAACAGATTTTGTACATGTGAAGGAGATTAAACAAAGGGATATGGTACTCTTTTCTTTGAATTGTTTTTTATTTATTTATAGATTTACAATTTTGGTTGAACAATGGTGATGATGGCAATGAATTTGTTATAGGGTTGTTTTTGTCATTAATGAATGTCTATTATTATTTTTTAACAGATCTGAAATTTACAGTTGGGAATTAGTTAGTAAAACATAAGAAAAAAGAATCAGTAATAATTAGTAAAATAACTTGTTGGATGAAAAATAATTAAAATAGTTAACGAAATTAATAGTTGCTCTAAGAAGTTAGGTTCTGTATGGTGAGAAAAATGCTCTTATAGTGATGCAATTGAAATGTGTTTTTCGTGAGAAAAACATCAGTAGTGTATATGAAAAATAACGATGGGTATAATTTGTGTAAAAAGTGTAAAGAAAAATAAGGGTTTTTAACGTGTGTGTAATATAAGTGAGAAAAAAGAGTTTTATGTGAATGTAGAAGTGACTAGTGGAAATGAATACAAATCATGTATTGCTATGTAAGAAGGAAAATAATTGGTTTCTCTATTTCAAGATTGAAATTGAGATATTATTTTTACAAAAAAAAAAAAAATTAAACAAATATAAAAAATAATCAAGATAAAAATTAATAATAATAGCAAAATTAACATGAAATATATATATTTTTTAAAAGTAGAACAAATTAAATCTTTTTTAATTTTTCTTAAAAATAGAACAAATTAAATCTAAAATTTTAATGTTTATTGCTTTGGATCTAAAGTTAAATGAAAATTTTTTTAAGTAGTTTTTGACTCTTTTTGACTAAGAAATACACAAAACAAAATAAAATATTATTATTTAAAAAATGTTTTAAATAAAAAATGAAAAACAAATTTTTTTAGAATAAAAATAAAATTAAAAATAAAGTTAGAATTCTATAAAACTGAAAAATAAAAAAAAATGCATGATTTGAATTCAAGAACTCATATTTATAAGATTCATTTCTTATTAACCGTGCTATTTTAATCATTTGATTTAAAAAACTCAATTGAAAATATATGAAAGTGAATAAATATTTGCTATTTAAAATATAAATAATTTGAAATAAATTATTATATATTTTTAAATAAGCGAAATAAATTATTGTTAAAATCTTAATAAAATTAAACTAAAAAATATTATAAAAATCAATATTAAAAATATTTTTGACTGTAGAAATAAATGAAATAAATTATTGTTAAAATCTTAATAAAATTGAACTAAAAAATATTATAAAAATCAATATTAAAAATATTTTTGACTGTAGAAATAAATGACAGATAAATTTAAAATATAACACGGAAAAATACACTTACTAATAATTCATAATACATCTAATAGTACATGTTTTCATTAAGTAATGAATTTAGAAATGAACAAGAAATGGCATGGCCCAAAAACCCATTATCATCTTTAAAGCAGCGAATTTCAATGGTGCAGCATTGCTAGGAGAAGGTGCAGGTACATTGGAAGCTGGAACAGTAGGAGGAGAAGCCAAAGCTGAAGAATATGGAGTAGGTGAAGAAGCTACTGGAGAAACTTTGAGTACATTAATATCAACTTTCTGTCCTGCTTGACAGTGTCCAGGTACACCACAGAAGAAAAAGTGGTGACCATGAGTGGTTATCTTTATGGTGTCATTTCCAGTGGTGAATGTTGCAATAGGTGATGATGCATTGCATGTCTTGTACATAGTATGTGTCACTCGCATCACATTATGGAATTTTGCACTATATTCAAATACTGGATAAAAAAAGTTAGTTAAATTTTGCTGATTCACTCTTGCGGTAGGAATAATCATAATTAAGTAAAAACCATGCTTAATGATTTTATACCACCAGACAAAATCATTGCATGCTGTTTTGTTTCTTTGTGTGCATAATAACTTGTGCAAAGCACCACAGAACAAAAAGGTAATGCAAATGAGAGTGGTGGGTCATGCAAGTTTACAACTATCATTATGAATCTCATATGTAAAGAAAAAGTCTTAATTTTTTATAAGCATTCTTTAAATACTTATTAGCACTACTCCCTGATTCTATTTATAAGAAATTTTTTACTTTTTAAATACATTAAATAAATAATATTTAAATAATATATTATTTAAATATATTATTTATTCAATGTATGTTAACTTTTTCTTATAGATGGAACCAGAGGAAATATTTATCTTAATATAAATAAATTAGGAGCGTAATTAAAAAAACAAAATTGTTGCCATGGAAAGGTGGAAAATGAGTTTTTTTTTTTTTTTATATCAAAAGAATTGGACAATGTTAGAAAAAGTGTATCAGAGAATGTAAAATAATGTTAATGTTGTTTGTCTTCATCCCTTGAAACCACTATTTCAATTTCAGAAAATGTGAACACATTCTAAGAATGAAGAAAAAGCAACAGAATTGAATAAATAAAGCATGCAATTGGATTAAAAGGACTTACTAATAGTGTCACCAAGTTGGAAATTCTTGGTAGCAGCCCATTTTTTGTAGTCAATATTACCAAGTGTAGTCCAGCCAGAAGAGTCACCAACCTTGTAAATAGCTGCATATGAAAATGAAATCTGCATAGTTACCAACACTAAAGGCAAAACCATAGATCTTTCTACCAAAGCCATGACAATAGGCTCTGCAAGAGATCCTTGTCTTTGGTTTTTTGTGTTGGTATTTGTGTTTTTGTTGAGGTTGGGGTGGGGACTTTATAGACACTTTTGACTAGACTTGTTAGGCTTTGAGGTTTTCTTTGTTGTTGTTGGAACTTGAAGGATGGTAAAGCTAATTAATAGGTGTGTGTCTGTTTGTTAATTAATTAATTGGGTTAGATGATGTGGCCCGCATAATCAGGTTGATCTCATCAGCATATTTATGGCTTACAATGGAGCGGTTGGTCTCACTAATAAGTGCTGCTATACTTTGCTTTTATACTACTTCTAGTTTTCTCAATAATTTAATTTCCAATATAATGAAGCAGAAAAAAAAGAAACATTATGGAGTAGAATATAATAGATTAGAATGAAATATAGATATCATTCTATTATTTGATTATTTTATTAAAAATATTTTATTTTATTGCATATATTTTAAATCGGATGAAACAAAAAGAATAAAGTCTTTGATTTAATGAAATTGAATGGATTTCATTATGATCCATTTTACTCAATTTATGATTTTCATATCCAAACAACAAATCTCATTAGTTACAACTCCATTTCATTTCATTCCATACAAGAAATTCAAGTTTACTAAAGTTCTTTGTGAATTGGTCTTTTGGATTGATTATATTTTACAAAACAACAATATGGAGAAGTGTTCAAATTGATCTAGATTGCTTAAGCTGTATGGAGGTGCAGAAGGGACACATGCTGGACATGATGTCTCAACATGTTGCTACGATATCTGGGTCTTGCACATCATAGCTTTCTTGTTCTTTTTGAAGATTCAGATTAAAGACTGAATCTGATTTTATTGTTAATGATTTAACAATATGATTATATGATTTGTTGGACAACTGTAAAGAAAATTCCAGAAGTATTATGTTATATAAGGAGCTCACAACCTGCATTGAAATTCAAGCATTCATATTGAAGGTTTTAGAGTGCTAGGTTTACTAGGAGTCCTTGTTGTTTTATGTATACCACTATGTTTCAGTAACTTGACATAGTAGGTTTGTCTAATTGAGTTGTAAGATTCAACATCTCTCATAGTTTTGATTGAGGTTGATTAGTAGGATTTAGTGATTATAATCTAAACACTAACATGTTGGTGTTTCAGAAAGAAAATGAGTGTATTCTCATATTTAGAAAGAGACCTAATAGAGAGTTATTGGGTAATGTTTGGAAGAGGCATAAGACAACATAATGTTTGTTGTTGCTTGTAAGATTAAATGTACTAAGCTAATAATAGTGAATTTCCTTTGCTGGATTATGGACTCAACTATCTAGATATAGGTGTGATTTCACCGAACTAGGTTACCAATTGATTGTGTTATTTATCGATTTTCTGCTCTATCATCTTGTACAAGTTAATTGTTCTGGTTTAACTTGTCAAACCAGTTCTCAAAGCATCTTGTTCGGCATCTGTTCCATGAGAAACAAAATTTCAATTGGCATCAGAGTCGCCACCCTAGTATGTTAGGTGAGCTCTAGGGAAGATAAATTCTGCTCAAATGGAGACAATGAAAGTTGGAAGATCAGTCAATAAACCACCTATTCTGAATGGTACAAATTATGAGTATTGGAAGGCTATGATGGTTATTTTTCTCAAAGCTTTGAAAAACAAAGAATGAAAAGATGTGATAAAAGGATAGAAACATCCAGTGGTTGTTTGACGATATGCTAAAAATTAGGGGAGTGAATATATCACAAATTAATTTTTCTTATTAAAAATTTTGTTTTAAAATGTTTAACTACGGCGCATGGAAACAAACCGGGATTAACACTCATCTATTCGAACCGTTATCGAAAAGATCGAAAATACGTTAAATCAATAGAACGAATACGTAAGATGAGAAAAATTGAATATATTTTCAGCAACCACATTTGAATTAAATCACACAATATTAATCTATTTCCAATGAAATATAATTTTTTTTTGATATAAGCAATTTATCGAACACTTGATGTGCAATCGATTCAAAACAATTTTTTCGATGATTTTGTTGATATGTAAATCCAATTACAATCACATAGTTTGTAATCAACTCAACAAAACAATTTCAATTATTAAACAAAAAGATTATCTCTATGTATCGATTGCATAATCAATTATTTCACAATTTCCAAAAAAATGTAAATGAGAGAGAGAGAGACACACGCATACGCACACAAGGATTTGTTTGGGCAGTTCTCTAATCAGCCTCGCTATGGGTGCGTCTGCCCCCAATTCTATTTATAATTGAGATAATGATAATTAACCTTTGCAAATATAGTTTTACAAGAGAAAAGTAGCAATCCAGTCCTCCAAATTCTAAGTTTGATGTTGATCCTATCTTCTTCTCTTTCCTTGATCAGAGCTCGATCAAGTAACCCAATACTTCCAATTTGATCATCCGATACCGCCACTCCTTTGACAGAACTCCCGTTCTTCAAAGCCTTCACTCGGCTGAATCCAAATTGCAAACGTATCGTGACCCAAGACTACCAAGGTGATCCTCCGGTTACCATTACTCATTTGACAGAAATCCCCGTTCTTCAAAACTTTCACTTGACTAAATCTAAATTGTGCAATCTTGTGAAAAACTCCCAAATCAATCCTTGATCTTGGAATAAAACCTTAAATGGATTTATCTTGAAACCCCCAAGGACTTTTCAACCTAATGGATTACACCAAATCCTGTTTAGCATTATCAAAGTATCTCTTATTACACAACAAAAATGATTATGTGTAATTGTTGTATGTATGCAATGAGATAGGATGAAGATGATGAAAATCTTTGAATGTTTTTGGTTTCAATGATGAAAAATGATGCATGGATGATTATATATATATATATATATATATATATATATATATATATATATATATATATATATATATATATATATATATATATATATATATATATATATATATATATATATATATATGTGTGTGTGTGTGTGTGTGTGTGTGTGTGTGTGTGTGTGTGTGTGTGTGTGTGCGTGTGTATGTGTGTGTGTGTGTGTGTGTGTGTGTGTGTGTGTGTGTGTGTGAGAGAGAGAGAGAGAGAGAGAGAGAGAGAGAGAGAGAGAGAGAGAGAGAGAGAGTGAAATAATGAAACATAAAAAATAGAGTTGCAAAATTATAAAATTGGATATTTTGAACATAAGGAGTCAACCCATTCGAAATGGGAGTCGACTCTAGATGGACAATTTTTTTTGGGTGTGAAACAAGCTTCAATAGGAGCTGAGACATACCACGTGGAATTCGATTCCTTCGTGTTATGTATCGACTCCAAGTGCCTCAGAGTCGACCCATCATGGACATAAAATAACTTTTCAAAAACACTTTCAGTGGGATTCGACCCACGACTCGAGGGAGTCGACTCTTTCATGTTGTGTATCGACTCTAAGGTCTTAGGAGTCAACTCCTTTTCAACAGAGAATTTTTTTATAAAAAATGTTCAGAGGGACTCGACTCCTACCACATGTGAGTCGACTCCAAACATGATTTTCACAAAAATGCATATTTTTTACATTTTTAACTTGTTCAAATTCCTTTGACTCGAACCCTAAGTGTTCCAAGATAAAAATTCAACCTAGACATTGATAGATAACGCCTAATGTACAAATACTATATATTACTTAGTTTTAATATCATTCAAAACATCTAAGAGAGGATATTGCAATCACAATGGTTACCTCTAAAGATGACACAACTAGCTTAAAATTAAAGGCTGATTGGACCAAAGTTAAAGATGATTAAGCCCTTGCAAACTCTAAGGCCCTGAATTCTATACTCAAAGGGGTGGACAAGAACATGCTCAAGTTGATCAACACATATTCAAAAGCTAAAGAAGCATTGGAGATTCTCAAAACTGCACATGAAGGCATGTCTAATGCTCATATGTCAAGGGTGTAACTTTGATCTATGTCTTAAATAGGGTAATCATTCAACCCATCTTAGAGAAGACACTATGTGAGTTACTTATAGGTATAAAACCAAATATTTCTTATTTTCGAGTTTTAGGTCATAAATGTTTCATTTTAAATAATTTGGGAAGGACAATCTTGTTAAGTTTGATGTTGACTAGCACACATACTTGAAATGAAGAAAAAAGAGCCAATTTATTACTACCATGTAAGGACAAGATAACTTTTCTCTTGTTTATATCGACTGTCCAGATAAAAGGATTGATTTGAAAAGAATAAATCACTCTGAATATACATGCACCATAAAAAGTAATAGAGAGGATTAGGCTTAGTCTCTGATCAAAAAAATAGCAAGTGTATTATTTTCACCGATATAGTAATAATGGATTTTACCCTGAATATCGATCTCGAGGATTGTGTAGAAAATACTAAGTTTTGTTATTAATTCAATCAAACAAAAATAATAGTTTAGGGTTTGATTCAAAAATATCTTTGCGAAAGATTAAAGGGCTGAAAGTAAAATTTGACTTTTTCTGTTTGGTTAAAAGCTGCTAGGGCTGAGTGTATGATTTACCATGAAATAACCTTCACTCTTTGATCTTTTCAACAAGTTCATCAACCTCAATTACCGATTATTAAGATTATCTTTCCCTAAGTCCTTAGTGAAAAACCTTTAACTTCTACCCTAATTTCAATTTCTATTCAAATTAGTTTTGAGGTTAAGCATGTAATTATCAATAACTATTCTGGTTATCATAGGATTCCCCTAGTCCTAGGTGAAATCATCTATAATATCATTATTTAGAAAACCTTAACACGGCCGTTCGGTTCTAATGTGTTAAAAACAGTGAAACCCTATGGTCCTATAGGGTAAAACTATAAATCCTTCTAAACAATCAAATTGAGGCATACAAACTTTCATGTTAAATAAAACAAAGAGATTAGTATTCTTAACATTGCAAATCAGGGACACCCCCTAGCATTGGGGGGTTTATCCGCACATAATGTTCAAGTAAATTTCAATAAAAATAAAGATAGACATTACACAA